ACGCAGTGTGTATTCCACAATACATGATTTCTGATAGGTTGAAATTCTTATTCTCTGTTCCCTATTCCTTTTATTGTGCGGAGCCCCTAAGAGTAAAAAAAGCAAGAAGTAAAAAGTGGTAAAAAGGCAAAGGAGAGGAAATAAAGAGTAAATTGTGGATTAGGTTTTCTCTAGATAGCTCGTGGAGCGCGCGAAATCGGAAGTGGGTTCGCGGCGTTCGCGCGCGCATCCCGCCCGATGTTGCGTGGGCGTCGCGACGCGCGACGCGCGACGTCACGCAGCACGCCGGCGGCCGGAGTTTACGCGAGGTAGCGGGGATCATGCCGGTCTCTATACATACAACAGCCTCGGCGGATTAAGAGACGAGAAAAAGACGGGCCGCAACGTGCCACGTGTCGCCACGACGGTCTGCCGTCTCCGTTTGGTTACGCGATCGGAAGTGCGCGGCGACTGAAAAAGATGACACAGTCCCGCGGTGAGGAGAGACGCGCGTCGCACGACGATAACCACCAGCGTGATGGTCCGAGTGTAGTAGATTGATATACATATGCGCGAGAGGAGAGAAAAATAAGTGGGTAAAGTGCTCTGGAAGCGATCTACGACTCTTTCAAGTCGTCGTCGTCGTCGTCGAGAAGTACCTGGCAGTGCGAACGCAGTACGAGGCGCGGGAACGGATCTCCCTGGAGCCGCAGGAACGGAAAGCGAAGGGTGGACGAGTGAGTGTCACGTAAGGGAGGAAGGAAAGCTTTAATGTAAAATTCCGGCTTTTCTGTCGCGATAATCGCGCACTTCGTACGGTGACGTAATTGCGCGAACGTGAACCGGCGATATGCATGCATTATACTGGACGACGATGCGATAGTTACATTAGAATTTAAAAAGGAAAATTAAAAAGAACAGAGAGAGAGAGAGAGAGAGAGAGAGAAAGAACAAAGTTAGATAGAAGTGATGCGATTATATTCCGATCCTGCGGGAGGCAAAGAACCGAGTAGTTACGACCGCTAGAAAGCCGCCGTAGATTCTCCTCGTTGCTGGTCTGACTCCGCACGACCTTTTCCACTTTCGACTATCTCCCTGGACTGCGCGCGAGCATTCTTCCACGTTGATATGCGAGCCAGCCATATATCTTGGCGGTTTTCAGGTCGTTAGCGGCGCGAGGGGTAGACAGGAGGATGAAAGAGAGAGGGAGAAAGAGAGGGCGCAAGCGGAAAACGCGCGAGATTCTCCCCCGAAACTTTCCAGGATATCCCCGTTTTACATGAGGACAGAAGCTTCCTCGGACGGGAGCAATCGGCCACACCGCCAACGACCCCGTTCCTCGTCGTCCGCGGTTCGTGTCAACATAACGATAAGTTAAATTTCCGGAGAGTTTAAGTTGGCTCGTTCGACAAGATTACAGTCGTTCGTTCGCTTGATTAGGATTGTCGTAAACTAACGACCACGATCCGTTTGAGTTGTAAGAGCTGTTTACCGGGGAGATTACCGACACGAGAGCTCTCCACATTTGCATTCGCGAATGTAGATTCACGTTATTTTCGTATGCTGCGAACCTCTTTTACGAGTCGAATTCTCTCTCTCTCTCTCTCTCTCTCTCTCTCTCTATTTGTATTCATCTTGAATGAATAGATATTATATCGAATATATCGAGTAATGAACAAATTTTTTCCTTCCGATTAATCGATTGCATTTCATGCAATCTCAGTCTTCAATATATAGTCCGATACAGCGTTTTCCACCAGAAAAACTAGTACATACTGGTACATACTGAAACTGGTACATACTGAATGCAATTGAATTCAAATCAATTCACATATTTTCAAAGTGATAAATAATTTAGTCTTTCTCTCTCTCTCTCTCTCTCTCTCTCTCGTTTTATCCTTCGTTGCATGCTCGCACGATACAGCACAAAAATCACAAGTCATAGCTAGTCTTTAAAACATTCGTGTAATTTGAAAAAGATCGATCGGGGCGCGCACCCTCGACGATCGTCTCGAGAACAGTTACGAGTAGAAACTGCCGTAGCCGCCGCCGTCGTACTGTTTGTAAACAGCATCGATCGACGGTTGCCCGGTTTAATCGGATCAGCGGCTAATCCGACCGTCGACGCTCGCTAAACGTTACTTCAATTTTTTAGCCCGCCGCTTAATGCTGCCCGCAAATCGTCCATCAATCGCGTGATTGCCCTTTTTTCATCTCTCCCTCGCCCGCTTTCCCCATCGACCGCAATTTATTTGCTTATCCGTTTACTCGGAGCTGTTTCATTTGGGCAAGCTCGAGTTCTTCTCACATAGATGGTGCATTTTAGTCTTCGGACACGTCTTTAAATACTAGAAGCCTGTACTGCGCCAAAGCGATAGTTTAACTCTTCGTGAACACAATGGATCTTTTTTGACCCAGAGACAAAATTTCACTATTAAGTTTCTTGGCACAAATTTGAATTTTTATTAACCTCTTCAGATTTAATTTTATTGAGATCATGTTAACAAAGAAATTTTTTAATTCAATTCAAGAAGGATAAATAATTCATTAATTAATTTTTTTCAAATGGTTATTTTTTTCTAGAATAAATTTTAACAAAAAGAGTCCGGCATGCCTACGGAGTAAGTAAATACAGAAGTATATACGAAGCTCACAACATCTTATATTATACACATTGCTCCTATTTGCGTTCTGTTTTATCATCTCTCATTGCTATTACATTATTAATTTTAATTTTCGACTGTGATGAGATTAGACTTACGATGAGATTAGATTTATGATGTTTCTCTGGTCCAATAACATTTTGTAATTATTCAATTTGATAATTTTAATGATTTATTGTAGAGTGACATTATTTGGCTAACTTGTTAGTATATTATTAGCGCCGAGGCACTACCGTGTCTGCTGATATTGAGGAAGATCCAAATCGAGAGTCGAAACGTGTGTATTTAATTTCCATAATATATTTTCTACACACCTTTGTCGGTTTTTATGAGCTTCATTGGAATTTTTTATATATTTACAGTATATTAGTATATTCAACAAATATTTGTATTCCGAAAAATATTTGTATTCCGGAAATGGGATAAATTGAGAGAAGGATATATCTTCTGATTATCGCATTAAAAAATTTTCTTTAAAGAATTTTTACATCTAATCAATTTTGTGATGTCACATTGTATTTCTCTCGTGTTATACGTAAGCTAAATCTCCGAGATCTTTTCACCATCACAGGCACAAGAGATCACGAGGTTAAGCTGTCCGACAGTTCGCTAAGAGTTCGTCTCATCGATCGTTGAAAGTTTCTCGCGAAATCGGCCGAAAATCAGGGAAGCTTTTAACCCTCTCGATCTCACAGAATGACAGCGCGAAGTGCTGCTGGCCAATGTGCCAATCTACCGATGTGCTAATAATAATTGGAGAACGCGAGTTTCATCGTAACACGTTACACGTTAAAAATATAATAATTTCATAAATTGTTTTAATATTACGTCTGAGTATTTGTGTAAAATTTGAACATAATTTGCTTATTGTTTAAAAGTTATTTAATTTTTTGTTAGTAAAAAAATCTTAATTTAGTAAAATCTTGTTTTATTAACCTCTAGTAGTTGTAAATTTAGTAAGATCATGATGACGAATTAAATAAAAAATTTTTATGTCTATAATATATTAAGTCTAGACTAATAAAACTAATAAATATTCGAACAAAAGTTTATTTGGATTTATTTATTCGTTTAAAAGTTATTTACTTAAAACTGGCAACAAAAATATGATAATTTTGTTATATAAAGTCATTATAAGCCAAATTATTTAATTATTTATTGTTTCGTTTTTTTGCGGCTGGTTTCAGAGTATATTTATGACAAAAATTTATCAAATTTGTTAGCTAATATTAGCTGATATAGACTTTTTTTATAGTTGAATTTTTGGTTGATATTTTTAGCTGGTATATTATTCAGCCAAATCATCCTTATAAGGTAGTTAGACCCTAAAACACATTATTCAAGAATGTCTTGAAACTTTCGTTTCAAGTAATTTAGGTATTAATACATAAGCCTGTAAAGTTTGAACTCGATTTACCATCTCGTTCCTGAGATATAACCGATCAAACTTCACCAATTTTTCTATATTTATCATTGTAGTATAGCCATTTTCGCCGTGATATGACACGGATTTTTATATAGCATCGAAACCGCATTCAAGAAGATGAAAAACGAGTCTTATGTAGTTAAAATGAAGAAGCATGTGTAACAAGACCGCAAATATTCATCGTATGCGATAGTAAAGTTTGAATGTCAATAAAAAATCTTGATTTTATACATTCTCTCGAGAATTGACGAAGTCTATTTGAGTGTCAATAAAAAATCTTGATTTTATATATTCTCTCGAGAATTGACGAAGTCTAGTAGTTATGGCAACGTCGCACTTTCAATGACCATGCGTCAAACAATTGAAAATGTTTATACCTAGCGATGATTTTGATATCGGGAAGATTTTGGTAGCATACACAGTAAAAAATCGTGCGTCCGTACGTAGAATTTTTCTTGTGTTACCACATTTTGATTATTACTTCAATGTAAAATCAACATACAACTGATATGTTATTATTTTTGTAACATTTTGATGTGTTAGATTCATGTCACCTTTCTAACTTAACAATTGCGTATGTCAATTAAAAATGGAATATTATTTTGAGTATTTTTAACACAATTGTTTCAATTAATCTATATATCTCAAAGTCAATTTAATATCTAAGAATTTTTTCATTCACATTATACGAACAAAAATGTTTTATTAACATTTTCTTACGAGTTACTGCAACTACTCTTCTATGTACTCTACTTACTTTATATGTTAGTTTTAAATCATCCCTAAAGTCAAAATAACAAATATAAATGTAAAGTATTGTGTCAATTATTTAACATTACTAGTTCGTTAATAAATAACACAAGACGAATGAATTACTTTAACTTAAAATTTAGAGTGGATCTCCTGGGACATGTAAAAAATGTTAAAATTAGCATTTTCTTTTTTACTGTGTATAATATTTTGACAGCGGTGCTTCGCCTGTCACTGTATCATCCGTCTATTCGTAAAAATGCGACGTTGCCACGATCTAATTTCTCTTATGTACTACGTGATACGTAGATTTTCCTTCTTTTCTTAAATTAACTTATTTCATCATGATTTAATATTGTAAGTGTATAAAATACATTGTTTTTTATTCTTAGATTTTACATAACAATATATATAGGTTTAAATTTAGAGTTATGTTTGAGTCTACCGTTGACTCGCATAGTTGGGGTCTAACCACCTTAAGATAAAATGCCTAATATGAAATGAATTTTGAAATGGAATAAAAAGAAAGAGAAAAAAATAATTGAAAAACGCTGTCGTGCGTTTTACAATTTTATTCCTACTTTAAAATAATAAGTTAATCTAGACCGTTATATGAATAAATTAGATAGATAAGAAAAGCAGTCAAGATTAGATTTTGGTACCTGATATTTTTATATGTAAATTATAAATACATTTTTCAGTTATATAAACTGGGCGTCGCTTATTGTCAGACTTGAAACACAATCATAAACTAGAGCTGAAATAATAATTATAATTAAATTGATTGTTGATTTAATAATGATGCTATTAGCATTTTGAAACGTTGCAAAGAAACTTCTTGCGAAAAATAAACAATTTTACAACATTATCACTCGAAATATTATTTATTATTTTTGCA